TCGAACGCACTACTAAAAATATATATATATATAAGAATCTCGAAATTTGATTTGAGAATTTCGAACGCACTACTAAAAAATATATATATATAAGAATCTCGAAATTTGATTTGAGAATTTCGAACGCACTACTAATATATATATATATATATATATATATATATATATATATATATATATATATATATATATATATATATATATATAAGAATCTCGAAATTTGATTTGAGAATTTCGAACGCACTACTAAAAAATATATATATATAAGAATCTCGAAATTTGATTTGAGAAAGCTAGCATAAAAACAGGACGGAAAAATATAATAATACTTTTTTTTTTAATATATAATAGTGACCGTTACAATGTAAGTCCTGCGCCCTGCTAGCTGCAACTCGTAAAAATAAAACAAATGTTGTTGTTATGTTATAGCAATATTGGAATTAATATCAATAATAATGTTATCACTTGTTTTCATTAGTTGGCACAGTAGCAATTAGTAGAACCAATTATTGAAGTGTGGTATATAAATGTATTACCTGCCTGATATACGATCAGTAATTGGAGTGTTATTCAGTATGCACACTGCTACTCTTTGGGGATATTATATTTCGTCATGGGTTCCAATATATACAGATGATATCCAATTAGGGAGCGATACACATCACACAGATAGAATGTTGTGTTAATAAAATCCGTATTTTGGTGCATGATAATACGCTCGCCCTCAACGATAGAATAAACAGAAATAAATTATTTCTCCTCAAAGTTTGTTAGTGGCCATGCCCTTTGCGTATGACTGTATGATAGGCCTCTAGAACAAAGACGACCAGTAAACCTGCACATTTCACTGAGACTGAAAACCCGGTAATTTACAACTATAAATGTCATAGTACTGACTGTATGCCAGATTTATATTAATTATTTAAGCGTTGGACAAAAGTTCTCTGAAGACGTAGTTAGTCCGAGAACAGAAAAAAAAGTCCCTTGTGAAGAAAATTGTTTTGTAACAGTTACCGTGAAGTAACTACTTTTGTTATCTAATAATAAGCAGGTTTACTGTATTAACTCACAGACAGCTTCTGTCACGCGAAGGCCTTTAAAGCGCGGTGGTCGTCGCGCAGCGCGTGTTCGAATTTCAGTCAAATAAACAATGTATTTTACACGCGTTGTATACGTCGCTATGAGTCCCATATCGAGCAGGACGCGGCACGACGACTGCCGCCCTTTAAGATATCGATGTTTACCCTTTAAAAACACTGCGAAATTTAGGGGTACAATGAATATGGCTGGTTCCAAGTTTCTTACAGTAGAGAGTTTTCTTTCATTTTCTTCAGTCTGTGCCGTAGTTCATCAAATAATTTGTGTGGATGTACTTTTCCTAACTGGTTCTATAATTTGTGTCCGCCCAACCGAAATTTGGACAATACGTCATTAAAAATTAACTTTTACTTCATTTCTAGGACCGAGCCCTCACACGTTACCCAAAGTTGCTGGACAACGTGTGAGGGCGCCGTTCGTCAACCAGACAACTTTCGCTCTCATCGCATCACGTTGTTCATTTGTACCAGTTCGTTTTACGTAGACTCAAACGGGACATCACGATCATGTAAGCATAACACCATTTAGGTTAGCGCCTCTGTCGCGTAGATGTAGATGCTAGGCTAATTAGATTTGGTCTGGGCGACCACATAAGTTGACAGGAATACTTGGTGACTTTCAAGTTTATCGTTGTGCACATCATATATTTCGCTGTTGAAGGCTATATCATCAGGTCGTTGGCACAGAAACGCCATGACACCACCCATCCCGGCCGTTCGTACTGGTGTTCTTTGAAAATATGCAACAAAACGTGGTAGGCTATGGCAACTGTAAATCTTCATTACTTTCTGACATCGTATAAGTTGAAATCATGCCAGTTACTGGTGAAAATATACAGCGAATATTGGGAGTGTGTGATTTTTGGATTCGGACGAACAGAGAACGCATCGAGGTACAATTTATTGATGTCTTAGCTCGCCGTCTGAGATCATTTCACTCACTTTGGCGTAACAAGAATGTCGACAGTTCCCATGTTAACACCAGAGATGTTGTCCAAATTGATCAGGAGGAGTTGCTTGTCATCAATTACCCACGTTGTCCAAAAACTTTGGAAGAATTTGGCGTTGTTTTCAAGGATGGCGGTGAATGCAGCTTGGGAAGATCACAGTTGGCGGTAGGCGATGTCTACATAGAGTGCATATTAAGGGACAGTTGTACATATAAAGATGGTGTAGTTCACGTAAATGACGAGATACTTCAAATCAACACTATGTTGGTGCAAGGAAATCTACCGCAAACTAGGTAGGTACTTAAGTTCGTGTAAGACTTGTATTTACATAATTTAGTGATGGAATTCAAAGAATCCATTTTTAGTTCCTGCTCTGTCATAGTAATTTTTAAAAGGAATTGGCATTGCCACCTTTAAAACTCATAATTTTTAAACTTTTGAAGGAAACACTCTAGAAGACATTCATTTTGCTTTATTTAAATTGTATTTATATACAACTGTGTCTAGCCCTACAAATTAGGGACTGATAGATTTTGATAATTTATCCTTTATTCCAATCACGAAAAATCAATTACAGTCACTTGCTTTCATCTCTCAAATTTAAAATAAGCAACAAGCTGCAAGTTTTTAGATAAAAATAGCATGACATCCAAATCTAGATAAATATAGCCTTTAAAACATTGACAAAATACACCCAAGATGCCAGAGATGCAATTACATACACAGATTTTAGTATTTCAAATTTTGTCAGAATCAGAGTTACCCAAGGAACTGAGACAAGAAACATACTTTTTATTTGGTTTACATGCATGTTCCTCTTGAAATATTTAAACAATATTTTTTTAATAACTTTCTGAAAAAGTAATTTGATTGATTAAGAGTGATTCATGAAAAAAGGAGTTTCTGTATAGTACTCATGCAAGGAAATATCACGTTCATGTAACACGATGTGCCACCATAGACAATGCCGGCATGATGCAAAGGTAAAATCATGCTCTTAATTATTTCACATTTTCCCAATTGTTGGGTTTAACACAGAAGACCAAATGACTGAATATATAACCCAATTTACTGGAACAACATCAGCAAGGTATCATTCTACCTTAAAGAATGATATATTCATAATATTTGCCAGATTTATGCTAAACAATTAAGGTATTTTTATTTATTTATTTCTATTTAAAGCTGATATCTTTGGTTATAAGGTGAATGACCACAGATAGATACTGGTATATTTTAAAAGTTAACACAGAATCTTAAATTGTCACAATGTTCTTACTCTACTGAATATGATATAAATAGATATTATCTGATAAATTTAAAGTTGGGGGTGGGGGTGTCACCTGCACCCACATGAGAATTTAGACCTAAGTGAAGATAACACATGCTAAAAATGCAAAGGCTCATGGGTAGATGCTTTTTGTAAACAGCAATATGCTATGGTCTTCTGTCATATGTGCAGGTGATGACTCCCCCACTTCTAGTTAATAACAAATTTGGTTCAAATAGTAAGTTTTTAAAAAGTTTGAAATGTAATACTCAGATGATGCTCTTTTCTGCATTAGGTAAAAACTAGTAAGTTATTTTGGTGGGAGTGATCAGTGTATTCAGGAAAAATGATAACCTTATTGTTGTATTCTCCCTATATCGTGTTTTCTCATTATGGAGTTTCTGTATTGCTCTACTATTGTCTTGTTTCTATAGTGGTCAAATAGAGCAATAAATCCGATGTCAAGTCATTCATGTTGAGGTCAAAGGTACTCAAATGTCGATGTGGTTTAATTGTCCTGAGAGAACCTATTTATGCTTGTTATTGTTGCATTTACAGTCTTTTATTTGGTGGTGATAAATTGCATACCCAAGAATTCTCATCTATTGTTAGACAGAGGGAATTCTTTGTTATTGCCAAGAATAAACCTCAAATGATACAATAAGTCATTCCATCAAATACAAGGCAACATAGCTCCATCAAATAGTCCATCATATGATGTGAATTTAATTACTTTCGTTCTTTTAGCTGATATCATATAGACTACTAACATATGTTCTTTGTCTTTCTGCTTACAAATAATATTATACTGTTCAATAATCATGAGAATATTCATAAGTGGCCATAATGAATAAACTTGATTGATATTATTTATCATGTTTTTATACTTTTTATTGTGAAAAATATATATAATAATAATAATCTTTATTGCATCCTTAGAAATACAATCTTTCTATTAGTCTACAGCAATAAAGTAATAAAAGGACGTTGAGTTAGTTAAAATTAAGATAAAAATAATAGTAAATTTATTTATTTATTTATTTATTTATTTATTTATTTATTTATTTATTTATTTATTTATTTATTTATTTATTTATTTATTTATTTATTGCTTCTTTTTTGTAACAGGGGCTCACTATGTAAACTAGGAGCTGCACCAAATAAAAAAAATACATTTCACTCAAAGACTAATGAAAAACAAAACAAACAAAAAAAAAAACTTTTGATAGACAAAAAGAAATTAAGTTACATGAACTAAGATAACAAAATATAACAACAACAAAAGACATCTAAAAGTAGCAACAACAAAAAAAATAAAAAAAAAAATAAGAAAACTAAAATATAAGAAGTACACTGGAAAAATATTAAATATTATCTGTATACCTCTTTCTACTGTCCATGGCATCAACTAAGAATTTTTTTGTAAAAGTATCAATTTCGTCACACAGGACTGAATTATACTGCCTTGTATTGTCACCCAGGATTAAACATAGCACTTCTTTGTTTGCTATGAAGTCTTTATGTAAATTTATTTCATTTTTGTTACATAGGAGCATTTCAATCCCTTCCATTAGAGTTTTTCTCTTTGCTTAGAAACATTCACAATTGTAATATGAAATGCTCCAGTGTTTCAGGTTCCTTTTTGCAACATGGACAGATACAATCATTATTATCCAAGTAAATGAAAGTACCATGTAATGAGTTTATAAAGAATTTTCATTTCTGGTTTCAAAAGATCTGTACCTATACTTCCCTACTTGTTTAAAGCGGGGAGAGTCTCGCCTACGCATGCATCAGATGGCCATAGCGTGTCATTGTTTACAAACAAGCGTCTACCCATGAGCCTTTGTGTTTTTAGCGTGTGTTATCGTCGCTTGGGACTCAATTCCCACGCGTGCACAGGTCACGGCCCTCACGCTTTAATTATATTTTGGTTATAATTATTGCTCATCAGCTATATAAATGTTTTTTGTATATTATCTATTTCTTTAGGGAGTTCAATATTTTCCTTGATTTTGTCTTAATAATTGTTGTAGAGATGACAATCCATGAAGAAATGTAATTCATCTTCAGTTTATGCAAGTTCTATTTTCAATTGGAATTTGGGGTTGAGTTTGCCTACCTGTTTCAATAGCAAGGTTATGGTTACTGGTTCTAAATTTACATAAAGTGACTCTTTTTTTGAGGAAAGGTCCAGATAAATATGGTTCATATAAGTATATTAACATTACATATGTTCTTAGCTTTGTTTTTTCTTTATGACATTCTTTCCAGAATTCAATGTACCGGTAATCCTTTTTTATCACATTTGTAATTTGTTTTGAATCCTGTGTTAAATTGTTTCCTATCACAGATTTGTTTAATTTCTGAATTGAAATACTCCATGATAAGTTTGACTTCATCTGTTTCTGGAAGATCCTTAATTATAGACCAGTATGAATGTAAAAATAACTGTGTGAATATCTTTTACTTTATATAATGCATTCACCTGACCATAGTGCACATTACCAGACCACAGTGTACATCATCTGACCACAATGCACGTCACCTGACCACAATGCACGTCACCTGACCGCAGTGCACGTCACCTGACCGCAGTGCACGTCACCTGACCGCAGTGCACGTCACCTGACCGCAGTGCACGTCACCTGACCACAGTGCACGTCACCTGACCACAGTGCACGTGTCACCTGATCAATTGGCATATCACACGACAAAATACAATACAAAATATGGTTGCAGACCCATTTACTTCATCAGTTGTAGATATGTACTTAGCATAAATTAGCATATGATTCGTAACACAAAATAGAAACAGAGTTGGGTTATGTGATAACAATTGTTCTCACTGGTATTCATTTAATTCTTTGATGCTTGTATGTGTTGTATCATGGACTGTTCTATCCATGCCCAGAATTTTTACACAATGCACTTAATAGCAGAATCGTAATATACATTGTAAACAGATGTGATATTTTAAGATAAATCATCAGACTTCAATATTTGTGTACACATGTGGGGTGGGGGTGGGAAACATGTCCACATATGCTTTAAATCAAATCCAATGAATCAAGAGCTGAACAGTATGAATTAGAAGGTATGAGTTAATTTTGTATAGTAATAACACTAGAGATTTGTATACATTTTTGAACTATTAATCTAGTAGTAGTTTTTACAGGCCCCTGTTTCTATTAAAGGTGGATATCGCCTACTGATTATTGAAAACTGTGATGTGTTATTTTCAGGTTCTTTATTCTTGGTTCAAATCCAGGGATTGAATATTATTCACTAAAACAACTTCCATGACAACATATATCAAATTATATTCCATACCACAACAATCAGATTAAGCGATATATTCATTAAAATTTATTAAAATTGTGCATTTATCAAACCAAGTAATTCCAGACTTGTGTGGTGCAATATCATTATTATCAGAAAACTGAACAGAACTAATACAGGTGATAGAAATAAAATAAATAATAAAATTGTTTGATCCATAATAACTGTTTTCATTTCTTTAGGTTTTCCTGTTGAAAACTAGACACAGGAAACCCATATGTGAATGATCTATTGAGCACTAAAAAAAAACTATTGCTTATGCATAATTCATGAGGTGTAACATATGGTAGCTTTCAGTGTGACCAGCTTATATTGTTGTGACGCATGTGTCCAGTGACAACAAAATGTAATATACCCCCGGTATATTTATAAAGTGGTATTTGCATCATTGAAGGTCAAAATAATATTTTATTTTAATATATTGTATGTCAACTTTGAAAAATATAACATTGACTTTAAAATGTATAATACTAAAATAATACTGATATAAACAAGATAACAAGTAATTATTTTGGATTCTTAAATATTAGGTTTTGTTACATTAGTTTACTCTCCGTACATATTACATGTTTGTCTGCCCAACGTGCATTCAAGATAAATTTTTTAGATAATGTCAACATTTTGTAAAAATATTTGTTGTAGTTAACATACATGCATGTACGTTTGTTATCAGGTCGTTAA